TAATAATAATAATAATAATAGTAATAGTAATAATAATATTAATAATAATAATAATAATAATAATAATAATAGTAATAGTAATAATAATACTAATAAATAATAAAATAATAATAATTATAATACTTATAATAATATAAGATTATAAACAACAACAACAACAATAATAATAATAATAATCATCATCATCACTATCATCATCAATCATTATATTCTACTTTTGCACGTACTTTCGTAGAGAAAATTCACCGCAACCAAACATATTCTCATTTCTACACCTACATAAAACTAAAAATACACCTTCATCCAAACATATTCCCATTTTCTACACAAAAACCAATAATCTACTTTTTCCATCAGAAATTTTGAAAACTAGAAATTTGTTTTGGAAACATAACCAAACATCCCCTTTATGTGCCATTTTGAAACTTCTAAAAAGTTAAGAACATGTCTGAATAGCAATTTTTTTAATATTATGTTGTTTTTCAAATTATTTACATGATTTAATAATCAATTGCAAACCGATAGTTGATAGTAAATTTTCTTTTGAATATGTATGTATAAAAATAATTTATATATAAATAAAAACTTAAATATGTTTATATAGAACATTTATAAATATACCCTTATAATTTTAATATTTACATGACGTTTCCCCCCGTATCCGTTTTCGTTTCTTTGCTACATAACACATTCGTGTGTATGTGTACTTAGTGAATAGTTATTTAATCAAATCTACTGTTCAAATCCACTCAAAGTAAATAACCAGTGTAACATTTAATTCCTCTACACCGGCGTAGTATGGTCCTTTTCTTTTAGTAAAAGTAAAAAAATAAAATAATTAGGGTTTAACAAGACCATATATAAGAATAAAAATAATAAAAAAAATTCCGAAAATAGGAAAATAAATTAATAAATCTTCACCGACACCACCGGTTGTTTTTAATCGTGCAGTTAAAAATACAAAAAAACAAAAGAAAAAAAAAACCCACAAAAAAACACACACACACACACACTGAAACCGAACCAGACTGTGTAGAATCATCGTACAACAGCATTGGTTGTTATACAAAACCCTGATGAGAAAACGCCATTTTATGGTAATAATAATACACTACTGAGGAAAGAATGAAGAGGTTCAACAAAGCCGCGTCTACTCCCGACGGCGGCCAGCCGCCGGCGCCGGATCACGGAAGCGACGGCGTATGCCGGAGCACGGCGGAGTGCAAATGCGGGTTGAATATAATGAAATTGACGGGTGCAATCGTGGTGTTCGTGATGGGTTTGTCTGTCTTGTTCTCAGTTTCTGTGGTGCTGAGGGACCCACCCTCCGATGTACTTTGGCCTGTTGTTGATGCCTCCAGAATTCTTGATTCTAAGCTTCATAAAGGTACCTACCCTCTTTTAAATGTGTTTCGGGTTTTCGGGTTTTCGGGTTTTCTGGTTCTGGGTTCTGGGTTTCGGGGTTTTTGGGTATCGGGTTTTGGCTGTTTTGTATGTATGTATGTATCTAATCTTGGAGTTTATATGTCACATTAATCATTATGACAAAGATACTACTTTTTTTTTTTTTGTTTGGTGTCACTTGTTTTATTGCAACAGATTCATCATTGTATTTTTTGTCTGATTTTATGTAATAATTTGTTAGGGAAGAAAGAATTGAATTTACAGAAATTTCAAGAATTGGGATTTGGTGAAGTAATTGGAGATCAAAATTCCTTTTTTTTTTTTTTTTAATTAGTGGTACACTGTCCAGACAATATGATTTGGCTTTTAGTGAAAAGATTGTTTGACAATTATAAATTATTTCAAATTCCATGTCTTAGAATTAAGGATTCTGTATGATTTTATTTTCATTACTGATTACAATTGGATTAATTTCGATTTAGAATGTCGTCTGATAAGCAGTTGAAAGAAACGTATAGATTCGACGAAAAAAATGTGATTCGATAGGGTAATGTGTTTCGTGTTTCGAGTCAAAATATAAGTAGAACAAAAAATTTCTTTAGGATATCTTTTTAATTCCCTATAATTCTTTTTTGCTGTATTTCGTGTTTTGCTCATTGCTCGAACAAATTGGAGTATTTGCTATCGAAACCGTTAAATGCTGCATTGTTGTGTACACAAGATTTACTTTCAACGAAATATCCAAATTACACAAAATCGACCGTGAGCTGCAATAGTATCCATTTTTGTACCTCGTTTTTTTTTTTTCTCGTCGTTCTTACCTTGTTTATTGTACCTAACAGACATACTAGAAGAAGACGAACTCGCTCAACCGGTTGAAGTACCAAACGACAAACTTCTAGGCGACCTTCTCCCAATCGGATTCGACGAAAAATCTTGCCTTAGCAGATACCAATCCCTCTTGTACCGCCGAGGCCTCTCTCGTAAACCTTCGTCTCACCTAATCTCCAAATTACGAAGCTACGAAGCCCTCCACAAAAGATGTGGGCCCCACACAGATCCCTACAACAAAGCACTCGAAAACCTTAAAAAATCCGCCACCGCAAACTCAACCACCGACTGTAAATACCTCGTCTGGATATCGTTCAGCGGCTTAGGCAACCGAATTCTAACGCTCGCGTCGGCTTTCCTCTACGCCCTTCTCACAGACAGAGTCCTCCTCGTCGATAGCGGAAAAGACATTCCCGATCTCTTCTGCGAACCCTTTCCGGAATCTTCTTGGCTACTCCCCTCCGATTTCCCGTTGACCGAAAAATTCAACGGGTTCAATCAGAAATCGAACGAGAGCTACGGTAATTTGCTGAAGAGAAACTCGTCATCAGGCGACTTATCATACACTTATCTCCATCTCGTTCACGACTACGACGACAAAGATAAGCTTTTTTTCTGCAATCAAGATCAAGAACATCTGCAGAAGAATCAATGGTTGATAATGAAGACGGACAATTATTTCATCCCGTCGCTATTTTTAATCCCGTCTTTCGAGAAAGAGCTCCACAGCCTCTTCCCCGATAAAGAGGCCGTTTTCCATTTCTTGGGGAGATATTTATTCCACCCGACGAATTCGGTTTGGGGGCTTATTAGCAGATACTATCAATCCTATCTATCCAACGCCGACGTAAGAATCGGAATCCAGATACGGGTTTTCGACGCAAAAAGCGGGCCATTCAAACACGTGCTGGACCAAATCCTGTCTTGTACAATGAAGGAAGACATATTACCGCAAATCACCAAGAATCAAGAACCCGAATTCGACCGATCGGTGAAGCCGAAAACCGTTGCTGTATTAATGACTTCTCTGAGCGGAGGTTACTTCGAGGAAGTGAGGAACATGTACTGGGAGAATCCGACGAAAAACGGAGATTTGATCGGAGTTTACCAGCCGAGTTACGAGGGGTATCAGCAGAACGAGAAGAGGAATCACAATAGGAAGGCGTGGGCGGAGATGTATCTGCTTAGCTTGACGGATAAATTAGTGACGAGTTCTTGGTCGACTTTCGGGTATGTGGCGCAGGGGCTAGGTGGATTGAGGCCGTGGATATTGTACAAGCCAGAGAATCTGACGGCTCCGGATCCGCCATGTGGCAGAGCGGTGTCGATGGAGCCGTGTTTCCATGCACCTCCGTTTTACGACTGTAAGTTGAGGAGAGGAGTGGATACTGGTGCTATTGTTCCTCATGTTAAGCATTGTGAGGATATGAGCTGGGGTCTTAAGCTGGTTTAATCCCTATATTCATTTTTAAACTAATAGTGTTTTTTTTTTCAATTTTTTTTTTCTTTTTTAAGATAGATATATATCTTTCTTTGCCCTCCTTTTATTGGTTACGAAAATGCTATTTGCGGTCACAAAATTGCTATTCGCGGTTTATAACAAAACCCCCCAAAACTTTTAAAAATATCAAAAAACACCTCAAAACTGCAAATAGCAAAAAAAAAAAAAAAAAAAAATCGAAAATTCGAAATCAAGCTTGAAGAAGGGTTGGGCTTCGATTTTTTGATGTAATTTCGACTCTTTTATGTGTAACATGCATTGGGTAGGTCGATTACGGAACCAATTTCATGTTAAAAAGCCTTACAAATCAATTTGTAGGGCTTTTTTTTTTCGCAAAAAAATGTTCGAACGCCCAAGATGGGCGCCCAAGGCGTGTACGAACGCCCGTTCCGGGCGGTCGTACACGCCTGGGCCCGCACCCATCTTGGGCGTTCGAACATTTAAAAAAAAAAAAAAAAAATTTTTTTTTTGCACTGGACGCCCAAGTTGGGCGTTTACGCGTTTTGGGGGGTGTTTTTGGATTTTTTTGGAAAGTTTTGGGGTTTTAGTGAAATAAAGTGTTTTTTTGGGGGTTTTATTAGAAACCGCAAATAGCAATTTTCAAACCGCAAAAAGCAATTCCCATTGGTTAAGGAGATATTCAATATATATTATCATTGTTATTAGAAAAATTATTATTATTATTATTATTATTATTATTATTATTATTATTATTATTATTATTATTATTATTATTATTATTATTATTATTATTATTATTATTATATCCCAAGTGGTCCAACATATTACATATATTGGGTTTTTTTGAGGTTTATGTGGACCATTTTTATATTGTGATTGATATATAGTTATGAAATATATATTAATCACTTAAACTTTTGGTCCCTTTGTCACATGTCTTGATGTTCTTTAGCAAGTAATGGAAAACACTATTTTGGGGCTAAAATTGAATTTATTTTTTTGGGGTGAAAAGTAATTAAAAATTCAAAATAAACTACTTATAACTAAAATTTTAATACTTATTATTATATAAAAAAAATTAAATAATTAGAAATTTCATTTATACTTAATATTATTAAAATTTAATTATAAGTTGTATATCTTAAATTATTTTTTAGCCCCAAAAAAATTTCATTTTCAATTTTGGCCCAAAAAATAGTGTTTTCCGTTACTTGCTTATGTGCATGTGACGGCAGGGGACTGAAAGTGTTTAAAATTAAACATTGGAGGTGAACTTTGTTCACTTTGGAACAATGAGTACCAAAAGTGGAATCGAGCTACACATGAGGGGTCAAAAGTGTAATTATCCCACTAAGGATTTTAAAACATAGGTTCAATAGCTAAAGGTCTACGACTTATGCTCACAAGCCATTAGAATAGTTGGCAAATTAGCGCCACCCATGAGGTGAGGTAATGTTAAATTACACACCCCTCATGTTTGGATAATTACACATTCATTCTCAGAGTGTCAAATTTACTTATCGAAAGAAGGTTTTTTTTTTTCTTCTTTTTATCATAAGACGATAATTACACATTCATTCTCAGAGTGTCAAATTTACTTACCGAAAGAAGGTTTTTTTTTTTCTTCTTTTTATCATAAGACGATACATAAATGAGGCGATGATTATAATTACCCAAACAAATTTTTTTTTTTGTAATTCGAGGATTTTTTTTTTCTTTGTAATTTACCCTTATAATAGATTAGCCTCATTTTGCAGGAATCAACCTATATCTATTTTCTTGCAGTTATATTACCTCTCTGCACAACACCAAAACAATTTAAAAAGTTAATCAGAATACCATAACCATTACCACCAACGTTAGCCGACAAAAGTTGGATAACTCTTTCCTGCCATCTATATAATTCGAAAACATAATAGAAACTATAATTTCATAGCATTTTAGAAACGATTACACCAAATTCCCAACCAAGGAGAATTATGTCTTTTCACAAAGAGTATATCGTTTAGGAACCAAAAAAAAGAAAACCACCATACGAATTAATTTAGAACAAGAAGTCGTCCCTACTGGGCTCCATCAATGTTGTAGTATGATGGTTAACACGTTATTCGGCTCGACGTTCAAGATCGAGTTTTTCAGTTCTTTCTTCCTTCAGACAAGATAATGTGGTATCCATGCCTTAAAAAAAAAAAAAAAAAAATGAAATTAGTACTATTATAGAGTATCGTCTAAATCACATGCATGTATGAGAAATAATTTTGGGATAATAATAATAATGAAAACTCACGTGGATTTAAAGGGTGCACTTGTCACACCGACAGGTGTATTGAACGCAACCTCCTGAAACGGCCCAGCCATTTTACCGCGCGGAAACCATCCTAAATCACCACCTTTCTTCCCCGACGGACATTCCGAATATTCCGCAGCTATCTACAAAAAAACAAATAAATAAATCAAAATAAACACTTATTACTTTGGATAATAGTCTAATATAATATGCCAATAAATGCCTCACACGAATACAAGTGTTACAAAAGTTTAATGTCTAATCATTTATAAGAGATTATTGCATTTAGTACCCCCGTGTTCTACCGAATTGCTAAAACATCCTTGTGTTATAAATGTTTAGCGAAAAAAACCCTTATAAATTAGCACGCAACCCTATCGTTAATAATGAATAGAAAGTGTATTAGGTGATTGGTTGAAAATAGTGCATTCGGTCGTGCCCCTTGGAAAATAGCATATGCAAATTCTCTGACATGGAGTAAATCAAATGGAAAGTGAATTACCTTAGCGAACTCAGCTGGTGGAACTTTGTCCCCGTTGTCGAGCCAGCCGTCTTGTAGCTTCTTATAGGCTTCATTGATCTTTCCTTGCTTCTCACACAATACATGCCTTGCTAACAAAGGTTAAAGGGTCGATACGAATCATTAAACAACTAATTTAATCTAATGGCAAATCAGAGCATTATAAGTTAGTGGGAAAATTACGGCCAACCCCCTGAGTTATGGTAAAAAAAAATACGAAACCCCCCTTCTGTTTGGGTAATTACAGCCACCCCCTCAACTATGTATTATCTTACGAAAAGACCCCTCCAGAGGTAACCAGAGGTAAATTTAGGGATGTTAATTTGGTAAAACCGAACCGAAATTTCGGTAGGCCAACATTTCATACCATTTACCGAACTAAATATACGATTTGGTTCGGTAAATAACCGAATTGAATAAATTTTATGTAAAAATATTTAAAAGGAGGAGGTGGCTGTAATTACCCAAACAAGAGGGGTTTTTTCGTAATTTGACCATACCTCAGGGGGTGGCCGTAATTTTCCCTAAGTTAATACTACACACACAGAAACTAAGATTACAGAACATGCGAAGAGGGAATAAACCTTTGACATATGTGAGGAAACAAGAGCATTATAAGTTAATAACACACACACACACACACACACACAAACACACACAAACTAACATCACAGAACATGCAAAGCTGGAAGAAACCTTTGACATATGTGAGAAAAAAAAGAGCATTATAAGCTAAACACACACACACAAACTAAGATTACAGAACATGCAAAGAGGGAAAAAAACCTTTGACATATGTGAGGAAAAGAGCATTATAAGTTAATAACACACAAACACACACACACACAAACACACACACGCACACAAAAACTAAGATTACAGAACATGCAAAGAGGGAAGAAACCTTTTTGACATATGTGAGGAAACGAGAGCATTATAAGTTAATAACACACACAGACACACACACACACACACACACACACACACACACACACACACAACACACAGCAAAGAGGCACATGCAAACTAAGATAAGCAGAACAAGTTAAATGAAAAGGGAAGAAACCTTTGACGTAAGTGCAAGTTCCTAAAGAGTCTCCTCCTTTGCCACCTTTGCCTTTACCCTTTGAACCAGCATCTTCACTCGAACCTGCCGCTTGTTTACCCTTATTCTTTCCTGCATCCTTTCCCTTCCCATCTTTTGCCATTACTCTATTATAAACTTACTTACTTAGTCGATGATCGATTATCTTTCTCGAAATAATCTATTTCTTCTTTCTTCTTTCTTTTTTTTCTTCACATTCTACAAACCTTTACAAGAACAACTAACTCTATTGCTCTCTACCAATTCAAAATATTATAACCCAAGTATGAAAATTGAAAATTGAGTTACCCACAGCTTTAATGGCGGCCGAATTACCCATTCAAATTATCCAAACAAGACCAGAATCCGAAATTTAAAAGAAAAATTAAAACCGAAACAAAACCCTTGGTTCCATATAATTCTTGGAAATTATTTTATCCCGGAACCCACCAGTGAAATATTGAAAACAAAATCCAAATCAAAAATAAAATAAACCAGCACTAGATCAATCTACAGAAAATTAGTTCCGACTATTAGCAACGCAATAATTTTTCCAACTGAGAACAAAAATTGCTGAATTATTAGAAGTGTAATAGAAAAGAAGGATGTAGAATTAATAAACGAATCGATCAATTTCTTACATACAATACACAGATGGAGAAAAAATGAATGAGAGGGAAATCTGACTGTACCTGAAAGAAGTAGTTGTTTTGATTAAGGGATGATTGCACGACGAAGCGAAGAAGAAAAAATAACAAGTGAGCAGACTGCACCACCAAATGGATTCTTATTCTGTTTGATTTTTATGTTTGAATTTACATATTTACCCTCTCACGAAATAGGTCATCCTATTTCTGATTTACTTATACTAGTAACCGTGCCCGTGCGTTGCACGGGGTCGCATTCAACAAAGGAAGAAAAGTAACTATCTAAAAAAATAATAGTACAAATTGTAGTAAAAAATCGATCAAATAATATTAAAATATATCCGTAAAATTCAAATTACAGTACTATTATCTTACTTTATTGTAACATATATTTTTCATCTTACAATGAATATAAATATATATATATATACACACACCTAGTGTCAATATATAAAAAATATGAAATAATAAATAATACAAATTTAACAAAGGGGGGACGGGTATTTCAAATTCCAATTGTTTCTCACCTCAATGTCCGCTAAATAATAAATACGTAATGACATTTATACCTTTAATGAAAATTACTATCTCACAAACATAAAAAATCTCATTTTTCTTTCTTTTAATATCACACACACAAACTCCTCACACCCTTCTGTTTCTTATTCACAACCATTCATCCCACACATGTTTCTTCTTATTCTTCCTCATGCTTCTGATTCTTCTTCCTCATGTTTCTCATTCTTAATCTTATTCCTCCTTCTCCTCCACCTGCTTCTCATTTTTTTTCTTATTATTCTTTTTCTATTCCTCATCCTTCTCCTTTTCCCGCTCCTCCTCCTGCTCCTGTTTCTTCTTTTTGTTGCCCCTCCTTCTTCTGCTCCTCTTCCTTCTCCTCATCCTCCATCTCCTTCTGTTGCTGCTCCTCCTCTTCATGATCCACTTGATCCTCTTGCTCCTGCTACTGCTCCTCTTTCTTCCTCTTCCTCTTCCTCCTCGTCGTCGTCGTCCTCCTCGTCGTCATCCTCGTTGTCGTCGTCCTCATCTTCTTCTTCTTCTTCTTCTTCTTCTTCTTCTTCTTCTTCTTCTTCTTCTTCTCCTCCTTCTTCTTCTTCTTCTTCTTCTTCTTCTTCTTCTTCTTCTTCTTCTTCTTCTTCTTCTTCTTCTTCTTCTTCTTCTTCTTTTCCTTCTTCTTTTCCTTCTCCTTCTCTTCTCCTTCTCCTTCTCCTTCTCCTTCTCCTTCTCCTCTCCTC